CCCTACTACTCTCTAGGTCCTATCCTGCAGCCAGCTTCTCACCCACCTTATATTATACCTACTATATTATAGTCAAGTATAGTGTAGTGTAGTATTATATTTCATTGTATTATACTATAGTATAGAGCAGCGTAGTATATTATATTATATTATAAGAATTTGGAATAGTGTAGCTTTGCGAGCTGCCCCCGTCATGTGACTGAGCTCACTTTGCCTTTTGAACCTGACGTTTTGCCAGATTTTTATTTTTCAAATTTAAATCCGTGCCTAGACATTAGTCACAGGGTATATAGCTCCTTCTAAGTATGTCTCTGTTGGTCAGACTGGTCTATTGATGAGCTCATGCAGGGACAAACAATCGGCGAGTAGTTTTAGGCATTGTAAGCATCTTGCTTTTGGGGGCTTGCAAACTGAATTAAGAAAGGAAAAAAAATCATGGGTACTGAAATGCTCACTTGTAAAATTTCCTTTCAGACTAAAGAAAGGAGGAAAACAACAAAAAAAAGAAGAAATGTGTCTAGCCTGAGGCACCTTCACAACCGAGTGATGAAATAAGACCCCTGACTTCAGGTTTCTTTATCTCTTTGGTAGAAGTTTCTGTAATAAAGCCACCTGCTGCAGGTAGCAGACCTGGTTGCCATCTCAATTGCACCCATGCATGTAGGGAGCAGAAACCCTTTGCTCCTGATGCCCTAAGCCTCCAGCACAAAGTAAGAGAAGATTGTCAGTCAGGTTTTCTGAAACCCCCTCTGCAGAGCAAATGTCTCCCAGCGTTGTTACCATCGTCCTTTTTCTGCAGCATTCCCCTACCCTCCGAGCCAAGGTCATTCATGAAAATGTGAAGCAGGTTTGTTCCCAAGACTTCCCAGTCACCTTCCTCCAGCCACCCCCTTACTTGTACCAATCCCCCTGTTCTTCAGCATCACTACCCTCAAAAGCACAAATGCCTTAAGGAAGTCCAGATAGTTTAGATCAGTGTTTCTCAATGTTTTGAGACTCAAAGTACCCCTTGTTAAGCTCAAGACACTCCTTGGAAAATGCCAGCTCTTAGTTTTCAATCATTTTTTTACAAGCTTTCCCTCATTTTTTGACTATGGGAACTTCTCCATTGCAAAGAACCCAGAGAGCCTACAACAGGCTCAGAATATATATATATATATATATATATATATATATATATTTATATTTATTTAAACTGTGGATGATTTTTATTTGAAATCCTTAGGTGTATCTTGTTGATGATGTTTGCACACCTGTCACTGTATGGCATTGCACAGTACTCCTGAAAGGATCTCAAAGCACCCCCTGGTTGAAAATCACTGGTTTAGAGCTATTGCTTTCCTTTGCTTAGCGAAAAAAAGCTTGTTTTTAATCCAACCTGGTCTACGTTGTGTCAACTGCAGTTACATGATAATGCATTTTCTATTTATCTCCCTGCCTTTAATTATTTTTTCCTTCAACAGCTGTTACCTAACCTTGTGTGTTATTGAGGTCAATCTAACACGTACATTGCCTGGCCTACTTATTAAACAGAGATACTGTGTTTGCTATCGTCTGTTTGCGTGGTGACACTCGTGACCTGATAGCTTTGTTCACAATCCTTGCTACCAGACCCGCAATTCAGGTCTCAGTGCACACGAACACTTCTGTACCACTTCAGACCAGAATCCAGGACCAGAGATTATCTGGGTCCCAGATAATGTTTTAAGCTCTCCAAGGTTTGCTTCCACCCCAGCTATTTTAGGTTTCATTTCCATGCTTTCATTCCCATCAGTCATTTTTTTCCCTTTGCCCCAGGTTCAATGTTATCTCCTTTATTGGAAGCTGGGGCAAAGTATTCATCTAGATTTGGGATAAAAGCCCCAGACAGGTTTTGCACCTTGGACTCAAAGAAAACTTTGAGTTATGTCTAAACTTTTGAGCTCCTCGGTCCAGCTGATTCACTAAATAATTCCCCTTGCTTATCCAAGTTTACCTTTTGAAATCAAGGGCCTTGTTTGCTGACCTACTTTTCTTCATCCTTCCAGTTAAAACTTGGTTTATTCATGCTGACTTTGGTAAAAAAGTATGCATTATATGTGGTATCAACTATTAACAATCCTCAAAGTG